GAAAGGGAAAGGAGCAGGAAGACTCCCTACGAGCTCTCAAAATGCCATTTCCACAAAAATAGTTGAAAAGCTTTTCTTGACTTATGTTTGGTTATAATCATGACCCACAAACTTTAGCCAGAGAGGAGAAATTTCTGGAACACAATTTTTGTCTCTTTGGTCCCATTTTGCAATGTTAGATAAGTGTGTTTCAATAACAGATGTTTCAACAGATAATGTACAAGTACTATTTTTTTTTTTTATCTCAAGTCTGTAGCTCAAAATTAATTTCTCAGCGTAACACAGATGAGCGACTTGTCATTTGTCTTTCCTATGGAGGACCAGGTCTTAGGACTTGAGACTATTCTTTCCATTGTCTACACTGTATTAATGTTCTGTTTCTCCTAGAATGCAAGTTTTAGTGCAAAATTCTACATTAAAATAAAAGGAATCCTCTATTTATTTTTATTTTTTTCTAGAGAAAGAATGATTCTAGAGGCTGTAAATGAATAAGAAAAAAAGAACTTTTAGACTTGTGCTGTCCAACACAGTAGCTACTGACCATATGTAGCTATTTACATTTCAATCAAATTAAATCCACTTTAAAAATTCAGTTTCTCATTGTGTTATGCACATTTCAGGAGCTCAGCGTCCACCTGTTACAGTGATGACCATGTGGGACAGAACACGCATCGGTGTAGACAGTTCCATTAGACTGTGCAGGCAGTTGGCATCGTGACAAAAGCAAGAGAGGAAGGATTCCTCTCTTTCTCCCTCCCTGCTTTCTAACCTGACTGAAGAGTCATTGTAGCCTGGGTACCGAATAATGAAAAACCATAGGTATTAATTTAAAAGGCCACCGTATTTCTAGGGGATATCCTGTTCCTATTCCATATGTATTATCCAGGGAAGAAGAGAACTGAAATGATAGGATCCTCTTATGTCTACACAATATGTCTTATTGAACCCTCCCTTTCATAAAAATCACTACCCAAAGTACCTTTCAAATCAGCAAAAGCTGTTTTAAAGGCCACTCTCATCTTCCCCTTGTCCTTCTCCTCTGAGGAAGGAGGCTCTGACTGTGCCCTGAAGCAGGACAGAAGGCCTCATGTGAGAAGAGCTCTCCCTATTGCCACAGAAAAGAGTGCTGTTGTCTTTGAAGACAAAGGAAAACGAGGACTCCGAGCAAAGCCCCCCCGTTTGTTCCCACTAGATTGCATTTGTTCCCTATCATTTCTCCACGACCATCCACCCTTCAGCCTACCCATTCCGGTCTTCATTTCCTTATAAAGTTTCCTGCATCCTTGAACACTTATATTAAATAAATTTACATACTTTTCTCTTGTCAGTCTGCTTTGTGTTATAGTGTTCTCAGCCATGAGCCCAGAATGAATAGAAGGAAAGATGGTTTCCCATCCTTACTCCTAGACATTCCAGGAGGCATAGAACAACTGTGAGGATGGAGGAAAAGTACTCCACAGGGAGCCCACAAACTTTTGAGAGGAGATAATATTGTACGGTAGTGCACACTGTTCAGACCCCCACCAGAAAAGAAATGTGACCTGGGCCATGATATCAGTTTCCTGAAGAGCGTTCTAATTTTGCATATTTTAATTCCTTAATGTTGAGCATTGAAGTATTTGTGGAGAATCACATAGGCTTGCTCTGTGACAAGTTCTCATTATTCCCTTAAGGGTGTCATCTCTCATAGAAACTCATTTCACATCTCATCAGTTGCAACCATGAGCTGGGGAAACTGCATTTTCATTTCTCAGAGGCAAGAATAAAGAAAGAGAACTAATAGAGAAATGGACTAGAATTTTCCCTTAATGAGACGAAGCTCAAGCCAACCCCCGTTTCTGGAAATGGAGTAAGCTTTCTGCTGCTTTCTGCAGGGCACTTGACGGTGATAACTGTGACACATTCCAAGGGTATTTTAGGAGTCGAGGGGAAATATGACAGTGTTTGTTCCAGGTATGCAGCTGCTGACTGAGTGATTGATGCTGTTTTGTCTTTTTGCTAGCACTTGGCAGAGTGAATTTATATAGAGCTCTGCGGGCCTGGAAGTGAAGATATTAGGACACATTTTAAAGAGATGCTTTCGAGTGTACTCGCAAAAGGATGCCAACATTGTAGACTCACTCATGACAAAGAGATCAGAGGTTTCCCCCTCTAGATATTAACTGTGAACAGAAACTTATAGGTGACCGTTATTGTGTGCAGTAGAGAAAGGAGCTAAGAGGAGGAGGGTAACAGGGCTCTTCAGACTTCTTCAGAGGTAACTTTCAGGGGGGATGGGGGAGTGAGGGCCCTGGTGAGAGTCCTTCTGGTGTATGATTAACTCTGCCATTTCTACAATGAGAAATTTAAAAAAAAACTAAGCTGAAACTTTTATCTGAGCAGAGAGTCAAGATAAAAATAAAGCACTCCACAAATACATCAAAGCCCTAAACTTGAATGCTTTTCCTCACAGTTATTACTAGGTAGAGATCTTGTCACTTCCTAGATTATTTTAACTCTAACCTGATTGTTGCATTCTGCATTTATCCTCGGGGTATGACTAAACATTACAAAACTAAGGTTTTTAAATGTGAAGGGCAATAGCCAATCTAGAGTTCATCAGTTCAGATAAAAATAAAACACAATGAATACAGACCATGGCATTCTCTAGGTATGAGAACATTTTTGTTTTCCTTTGAAATCAGTGGGGTGGAGTAAGCAATTCTTCTGGCTAAGAAAATATGTCCTATGTGGGTCTGAAATAGTGTTTCCACTGCCTACGGTGGGCCTGAATACTGTGACAGGACCTTCCACATTTCCTAGGCTATAAACATCAGTTATGACATGTCATTTTCATCTAACCCAGAAATTACCACTTATTAGTATTGCATTATTTTCAGGATGAAAATCAAAGAAACTGGGTCTCAGAGTATAGCTTGGTAGTACAGAGTATAGCTCTAGTACAGAAGAGAAGTAGCATGTATCAATGCCTTGGGTTTCCGAGCACCATAAGGAAAAAAAAAAAAGTCCATCCACAAAAGTCAGTTTTTCAAAACTGGAGATCTTATTTAGAGAAAACCATCTATCTATTCCTTTACTTTGTTGAATATTGCTGGAAAGCAATGCAAATTGTATCTCCTAAAAATAATGTTTTCTTCATATTTCATCTTACATTTTTAAACATTTCTACGTGATGTTTTATACATTGCAAAATGCATTTCATGGTTACTATTTTATTTGGGTTATCTGGTATGATTTCTCAGCTTATTACACATATGTGAAAACCAAGTCTCTAAACTTGAGCAGCTGATAATCAAGAATCAATTAGAGCTACTCTCAAAGTCAGGGGCATCTCTAACACCCTTAATTCTATTCTTTTATATTTAATACGGTGCCATATGTTTTAATAGAGAAAGCACATTACTAGCAATAAGAACACAGACACACCAATAAGAATGGCAATTATCAAGAATACAAGTAACAAAAATGTTGGCAAGGACGTGGGGGAAATGGAACACTCATTCCTATATCACTGGTGGGACTGCAAATTGGTGCAACCACTCTGGAAAGCAGTGTGGAGATTCCTCAAAAAACTAGGAATGGAACCACCATTTGACTCAGTTATCCCACTCCTTAGTTTATACCCAAAGGACTTAAAATCAGTGTATTATAGTGACACAGCCACATCAATGTTTATAGCAGCACAATTCACAGTAGCTAAGCTAAGGAATGAACCTAGATGCCCATCAACAGATCAATGAATAAAGAAATAATGGTATATATACACAATGAAATGAAGAATGACTTTATAACATTTGCCAGTAAATGGATGGATTTGGAGACTAACATGCTAAGTGAAATATGCCAATCCCCAAAAAACAAAGGTTGAATGTTTTAACTGATATGTGGAAGCTAAACCACAATAAATGAGGGAAGGGAGAGGAAGAAGAGAAGTTCAGTAGATTAGACAAAGGGTTAAGAAAGGAAGAAACAGGAGATAGGAACAGGAAAGACAGTAGAATAAATCTAACATAATTTTCCTATGTATACATATAAAAATACCTAAGTGAATCCCACCATTGTGCTCACCCACAGAATGAGTCCTAATTAGACTAATATTCTGTGCTTGTATAATTTAATCAAAATGGAATATACTTTAAAACTAAGAATTAATTAAAAAAAAAGAACACAGACTTTGGAACCAGTTGATAGGGGTTCATATCCTGGCTCTATGATTTGCTGACTATTTTATGCTAGTCAACTTACTGATCCTCATAGGCCTTGGTTTACCCACTCATAAGGAGAACAAAATAACACCCCTTTACAACATGGTGGACAAGCTCTGAAGCGTACCTTGTAAGTGCTCACAGAGATTTGTTACCAGTATTATTAAAGGTTACTGCTCTCCTTCAATTGCTCTCCTTCTCCTTGTTTATTTTTGTATGATCCAAGAACTAATTCCCAGGCAGGACTAACCAGTATTTAGCATTTCAGAAAAATAAGCATTTTAGAAAAAAGTACTTTCATATTTAAAGAATGAAAAGGTCTCTGATAATTTATATTTTGCCATTGTTGTTACGCTTCCTTTTTGTAAATAATTAAATTAAAGTTTGGTCCTTACCATTTTCTTACTGCAACCTAAATTTTCAGTTGTCCTGTATCTTTATTGCATCATCTTTCCCAAAAGGAGTCCAGCTAAGCTGTGAAATTATTGTACCATACATTTGATTATATATTCTAACAAGGCTATTACTGACCACATGGTACATTTTGAAAATTAGAAAACAAAGTCCCTTTTTCAGAATAGATTAGCCTTTCGTCAGGATACTGGCTTGCAAGACTAGCTGGGGTAGAATTTCAGCTCCCAATCATCCTGGTGGCTGGGTTCCCTCATGTGAGTGAATTACCTGAACAACCACATTCAGCAGCACTGTCTTCCATTTGCCCCAAGGTTACAGAGCTGATGTAGTTAGAAAAGAATTCAATGTAGCATCAGAACAAGAAACTGGCGAGTGACATACCTCATGATACTTTTTCACAGTTTTCCCTGAATTGCACCTGCAGGACTTCGAGTTGGCAGTTCCACAGCCACAATTTCCTCCACAGCGCTGCACGAGGAGGCAACGTGGAAAGAAGACCGCGTTGGTCAACTGCAGCTCCTGTCTTAAATTGACTGAGTAATTCCTGGGAGTGCAACTGTAACGCTTGACATCATCGTTGAGCCTGTCCAGGTCAACTGTGGGCAAATGCACACACTGTGTGAGCAAACACACACTCATAAGCACAAATGATCAGCATGTGTTTTGGGAATAGAGTGGGAAGGTTGTGCAAAAGACAACCCAAACTGAGGGATTAAATCTGTCCTTGGCTTCTCAATTGCAGGGCTCCTCAGGTAGAAGAACTATTTGTCTTTTGATCGTATCTGCCCTTCAAAAATAACTACAAAAACAAAACAATACGAAACCTGCAAAAGTCTGTATCTGGGCTCAAATTTTCTGGTAGCTTTTTGTATGCAAAAAAAAAAAGAGTTCTGAGGAAAGAAAATGTAATAGTTGGCAATTTAAAATAATTGCCTTTATCTTCAAGAAACACAAATACATTGCCTCTTGCTTCTAAATAAATCCTGACTCAAAGTCATTACTCAAATACAATTTTAATTATATCAATGACATATTAGGGACAATCACTCCAACATACATATCTGGCAATGAAGTTTCTACAAGGAAGCATGAGGAGAGAAAAGGTTTTAGTTTTATTTTAACTCCAAAGTTAACCAAAATGTTAAAGGAAATGGTCTTCTGTTGTGGGCATGATGCATGTCTGTGCCCTGGGTCCTCGATGGCAGTCCTCCATGGTGGGAATGCCTGAGCTCGGCAGGGAAATGACAGACAGCTTTATCACAGTTGTGCCTCCTTTTACTGGGAAAGTTATTTATTGACTCAGACCTCTGTTTCCTCATTTATAATATGTAAACATTTGAAGGGGTGAATACAGAGTGTGCCTGGTACTCATTTAATACCAGCCCTTTATCATTCATCTTGATTTATTTGATTGCCTCTACCCTCGTTTTTTTCCTTTTAAAATATGGCTGACATTTAAAAAAAATCAAATCATTTCTCCCTCTTTCTCTCATTTGGTGATGACTTCATGCAAATGATTATCAAGGACTGTGGTTGATGGGACTACAATGAATTAACAGTGTCATTCGAAACTTTCAAATCTAAGTTATAAATCTTTGCTTGAATTAAACTTGTTGTTGTGTCCCATAAAGTGTATTTTAAGTGGTGTTCTCAAATCCATCCCACCATCCACTGTTTGCCATTCAAATCCTCTGTCTGGTGCGCACATACACAGGTGTCTTCTCACAAGGATGCAGTTGGAAGGAAGCCCTTTTGTCTGCACAGGTTCCACCACCACTTCCCTGCCACAGGAAGAAGACCACATATGCTAGGCAGGTTTCATCATGCTGACCCTGGATCTAGCCCCTGAAAGTACCTTAGTCTTAACCAAAACTGCTTGAGGAGCAGCAAGGAGGTGACTTTGGGGCCAGAGGTCAGAAACCTAGGATGTGGTTAGTAGAATGCATCCGAGGGATTGAAGGACATGAAGGTACATGGTAGGCTGAGTCCATGAATTCCATAGAGTCAGCAAATTTCACTGAGAATAAGAAAGAGACCAACCATATGGCTAGATGACCCCTTGAATAGGAAATTAAATGGCAGCTGGATTGATGTCCTGCCCCGTGTACTTTTCAAATGTGCAACTGTGCTTCGATTCTCAAGGGCATGGATTTTTCTCCAACTGATATATGCTGAGTCCAGGACACTGTGGGGACTGAATAAATGCAAAATAATCACTGTGCATAATTTATTGCTGTTTTTTTTTCTTTCTTTGTAAAGACATGTCATAAGTTTAGCTATAATCAATCCAGATTTAAATTGAATGAACTCTGTCTTGGGAAAGGAACCATTTTATTGCTGCTAAAGCCCTGGAAATAACTGCAAGCAAAGCAGGAAGGATTACATAAATGGATTAAGAAGTGCAGCAATCATCCATTACAAGTGTCACCTTGAGATAAATACTGTTGCTGGCCTGTGCAATACTGGGCTTGTGGACAGGGCTGGTGCAGAGGGCCAAATCTGTTGGCTGTGATAATGAAAATGTATTTGTCTAACAGGGAGGAGTAAAGAGGTGCAATTAGCAAGAAGGGATCTTGATGCACGTGAAGGCAGAGAAGGACAAGARGGAAGAATCAGAACTGAGTTTCTACTTTAGTTCAGTTCCCTGCTGGCCGCCTTACCCATTAATTTACTTTTAATGTGGTCCCCACCCTTTCGAGGTGGGTGCTATTTAACCAAGGTGAATAATAAATGATAAAGTTGAAATTAAATCCTTTCTTCCTATTTCTCCATATGTTCTTTCACACCAAGCAGAGCAGAGGTGGGGTCATAGGTAACCCACTGCTTGAAAGAAGAAGACCGCATCACTATGCAAACATCTGGCTTTGCTGTAGGATGTTGAACTGGAATTGGGGCAGTGAGTGGCCACATCCTTGGCTTCAGGAGATCCAAGCCAAATTCTAGCATGCCTCTCCTCTAGGAATTTAGCCAAATCCCAAGGTGCCCTTACCAATAAGGATAAGGCACATGTGCCTTATTCCCCTAAAAATCAAACTCCTCACATTGTAGAATGTAATGCCCAGCGCTGGTTACTGTGTTTCTTACCTGCATGAAGAGATTTACAGTGCTGTCAGTTTTATGCATCAATTCACTGATGTGACTAAGGACTGTGGCCTCCTGTGACTGCAATAGAATTCAGCTGCCCTACTTCTTAGGGGATTGAAACCACCTAGGAACTCAATTTAGAACTAGAACTAAAAGGTGCTTCTGACTGGATGCAAATAACTTCAAAGCATGATTGCAGGCTTTCTGTAGGGGATATTGAGTTTCCAGTCAAAGAAGACTGATTAGGCAGCATGGCACAGCAGGGAGCCAGAGGAGGCTGAGCAGCAATTAAGGCTTCTGGCGCTCCTGTCAGAGGGAGGCTGCTGGTGTGCACATTCTTGGAGGGAGGCAGGGCAAGTGGTACAAATCCAGGAAGAAGGATTGCCCTTTCCATTTCTGCTTCAATCTGTGTGGTTGAACATGGTTGAACATTACAGAGTAGCAAGGATATACCAAATTTAATTGAAAATCCCATTAATTTCACCTATCTTCCTTGTTTCACCCAGGTATAAAGAATGTCTTAATACCTCTGTTGCTCTTGAATTTGAGTCTTGCTTTTTCATGGATCCTCAAAATAAGTTTTGTTTTGGATTTTTTTTGGGGGGGGGGCGGGGGAGCTGTGTATCAGCAATCTTCCAGAAAGACTAAGAAGGTTCCACTGTCTCCAAAGGCTTCCTCTAGATATGCTCTTCTAGGATGGACACTGCACGGTGCACTAAGGAGCACCCTTCCTTATGCAGCCATGGCCTCAAGGTGCTTCCCAGTCACAGGGATTCTTTGGGTTGCAGTAAGAATTCTGGGCTAGGAGCACTGTGTGGAGATGTGAAAGCACACCCTTGATCAGTTTCTAATAGATGAGGGTTTAGGAGTGGAAGAAGGGAGAGTCAGCCTGGTCTTTTTGATGCTGGCCATTAGATAGCTAGTGCAGGATCCCTGAAAAGCTCTTCACATATGAGTGTGTGAAATCCACAGAAATGCTATGAACTGTATACCATCATCACTCTTAAAGCTGAGGAACCTAAACCTTTGGAAAATTAAGAAAAAATTTTGTGCACATCTTCTCTCTGTAAGGTTCCCAAGTGGACTTCACCATCTTTTACCCCTCCTCTCCAAGTGGTTGGCCCCCACCAGAAGGTCCAAATGCAACTCATTTAAGCTCATTTTTTTCTAAAATCATGTGGTTTCAACATTTAGGAGCAGGTTACTGCCAAGGGGAAAATGACATCATTGTTGTGCCAGATTTCTTTGTAAACAATAGGTATCTTTACAAATGAATCCAACGAACCATTTTTTTTTAAATTTAATTTTTATAGTCATCAAGAAAGGAAGAAACTATTCGAACTATCTTTTAGGGACCGTGTACAGTATCATCTTGTATGTTGAATGGCTCTTTTCTCTAACCTAATTTGGAGTGGGGTGTAGTGCAAAGGTGTTAGGCTAAGGCTGAAAAACTAAGGTTCTAGAATCAGCTCTACCAAGGAGCAACCGTGATGCACAAAGATGAGGGCACCAAGACCATTGGGATCTACAAGCAGTGCACAGAGGGGTAGAGCCTGGTGCCAAAAAGGCTGGCTCTCACACATCTAGCTCAAGGTTCTAAGGAACACGTCCTTCACCAAATGGGAACTAGCACCACAATATGTTATGCAAAGTGCAAAACACTTCACTTTGATGTCACAACACTAGATTTATGAAGCTTGGTGTGGGGGTGGGAGGTGAGAGGAATATATGAATAACTGTACTTTTACGACACACAACCAGGGGCTCTCCACCTTTTTCAAGGTTCATAAATTCCCCAGGAGGAGTCTGTTCATCTTTATGGATTTTACAATATCACTGTGATTTTCAGATTCCCTCGTCTATAAATCAGACATAATTGTGAAAATTGTTTTCACATTTCGACCTCAATTTGGTAGAGCAAATAAATCTGGAAAGAACAGTTTATACTTTCTAATGAAGGAACATCAGGATATTTTAAATTTAAAATCATAAAATACAATAAATTTCATAAATATTTCACAAATATCTTCAATATTACTATTCCCATTTTACAGCCTAAAGTCAATGGTCGTATAGTAAACATTCAATAAATATGTACTAGAAAATGTGTGGATGACTAAATGAATATCTGAAGACATTAAGCATGAAGTTGAAACCATCTTTTTCTTAGTATATGTACCTTTATCTTATTTATTTATATGTGGTGCTGAGGATCGAACACAGTGCTTCAAAATGCTAGGTGAGCCCTCTACTGCTGAGCTGCAACCCCAGCCCAGTTGACACCATCTTGTGGAGATTTGGGGAACCCTAGGAACTCATGAACTGGGGAGATGTATGCAACACATCTATGAAATGAAAAATGAGGAAAAAAGTTAGGAGATGATAAAGAGTCAAGGAAGTCTGTAGATTCCTTTTTCTCTCCTTAAAGACTGTGAATATCTAAGTTTTAGACACCATGGAGTTCTTCACAACCTGGGCTTTGCAGCTAATCAGTCCAGGTTCCTGCCATGGC